ATGTTCTGATTGTTATTCTGCAGTCGTTCACACAGGGCACTCAAAAGCTGCCTCTCAGTAGAACCAAGGTGATAATGCTGGTCAGATCCTAACACAGCACAAGACATACTGGGCCTAAAGCCATCATCAGCCCTGACTCCAGGTACACATTCAGAAGTCATTTTTCTACCTGTGACTTAATGCCTTCTAACTCAGAAGTAAGAAGTTGCTCCAACTTCTCCTTTGAGGTTAAGATGTGTAGCCTCATGGAATAACTTTTCTCCTCAAGATTCTCAGGTGATCTGGTACTTAATGCATTACATTCTTGATTTTAAACAAATGTCAATAGTTAAATCATGAAATATCCTTCCCATCTGAGAGTAAGCAATAGAAATTCCCTTTCAAACAGCATTAAACAAGAAGCCAACGCTACCTCTATTCTATTTCTGTTCTAAAGATTTCGATTTATTTCAGAGTTTGAAGCCTCCAGGCTCTATACCACTGCTACATCTTGGCCTGTGCTCTACAAATCAGGATATAATTTGGTAGTAGAAAGCCTCTGGCTATGTTGCTCGGTCGTTTAATAGTTTAGGAGATCTAAAGCACCCAGAACAAGGGCTCTGTAGCTGCGAACTCCCTCCTCTTTTAGAAAAAATCTTGCTGACTTTCTACCTACTCTGGTTTCTGGTCAAGTTTAAATTGCCTTCTCAGACCGTCCAAATAATATAAATCACAGGGCCTCAGATCCAACATACCAATGGTTTAATATGTATCTTTTATCACAAGAATATCCTCTCGTAGCCTGGCAAGAAAACTCAGATATGGTGAGCACGGTGAAAGTTTTCCTTTTCTATTTGTCTCAGATAATTAGTTGAGTGCTGTCTGATGTCAGTAAGGAAACCAAAGTAAAGGCTAACATTTTTTTATAATCATTAATTTACAAAAAGAAAATAAATTTGTTTTGTCATATGTTTTATAGAATGTGCAAATTTTTCTCTGCAAAATTTCCATGAATCATGAAAATTATTACAATTAAACTATTGTTGTAAGACAACTGTTTTCCCCTTAAGTATATACCAGTCCCTACATAAAAACTTTTTACAATATTTTGGATGATTTATTTAACATTTGGAAAGGATCTACTTGGAACTAGCTTGCCTATGTGCAGATAATATTATTTCAAAGGAAAAGTTTGTTTTATTTTAATTCTACTGATATCAAACAACAATGATAATAGATAAAGTATGCAAGGGTTGAATATATGCTATTTTGCATGTATTACCTCATTTCATCCTATGAGAAAGATATAATTATTTCCCATTTTCCTCAGCTGTGGAGGGAATGCTTATCAATTAAGGAACTTGCCAAGATCAGATGGTTATAAACAGGTGGGGTTGGGGTTTAGATGTTGCCACTCTGACTGCAGAGAGCAAACTCCTAACAACTTGTCTGTATTCTCACTCCGTAGAACCATGAGGGGAAAATGTTAAATATGGACATTCTTGATTACTCTCCTGAATATCTGAGTGCAGAGTATAATATAGTTTTTAAGTTTATCATGTGATTCTGTTACGTGAAAGTTATGAAACCTCTGATTTATGAGATTGAAACCTTTTAGTTGCAGTTCTCTGATGAGCATGAGTCTCCAGGTTATTGAAAGCTCAGTCACATTAGAATTTATTATTTTTCACTATTCTCATTCATCATATTTTAATATTATAAGTCTAGTTCAGATATTGCATAAAAACAACTCCTGTCCCCAAGCTTTGACAAAGACTATTCTTTTAAAAGCTGGTAAAATATTTGTGTTAGTGACACATTCGTCATCAAAAGGTCACAGCTCCAAAGGTGGGGGCAGTCAATCTGGGGAGTTTTAGCTGAAATACTGCTCTAGTTAATAGATGCAGGGCTGTCACTGATAGGAAAGTAAAAGCACTCTGTTATTCTGTAATTCTCATGGTGACTAAAAACGCCAAAGTGGACATTTGCTCACAAATTGAATTACTTTCTTAGAAAACTTTACTTTGGCCTTTAAAATCTCGTAGAAATACATGAGCTAAGGGAGATTTAAAATACAATCTTAAGGACATTAGTATAGTTCATTAGAAAGCATAAAACATAATGGTGGCAGAGTCATCTTTAGGGGTGGGTTGTGTTAAATCCTGAATATGAGGTTAAGTACAAGGGAAAGCAAGGCCAGTTTGCTTTCCTTATTGATCAATTTTCTTAATAAACATATATGACTTGATGATAAACTTATTTTTTCAGACTTCTGAATTTATATGGCAATAGAGCACACAAATATAAAAATTCCATTCACCTCATTCATTTTCATAATTAATTTAAGCATGTTGGTGGGTAAAGCGGGGAAGCAGATGTTCTAAAATTCAGAAAGCTCTAGGAGACAACTTGAAGAAGAGAATGAGAATATACAACCACCTATAGTTTTATGCTGTGGGGTATATAAATTTTATATAACCTACAGCATGACACACAGTAGGAACAGGAAATGCTTCAGAATAACCAAGTCATAACCCCCCTGTAAAAGTACTGCCTATTTAGAAAAATAAATCTCCTTATTTTCCAACAATTCAACTTCCCTCGCCCCCTTTTGTTCCTCTTCAAGTTTAATTTTCTTTATTTTGGGCATATTTCCTTATATAATATTTTTATGGATTTGAGAAACTCAAGGTTGCAAAATTTGATCTGATTCTATAACATTTTTATCAAAAGTCCTAGAGGATGTTTCAGCTATTGTAATTGTAGATGATGAATCTTTGCAAGAAGTCTTTAGATATTAGTCAATAGTAGCAGTAAAAATATTCTTTGATAGGGGGCTTATTTATATGTCGGAAAGTTTGATATTTGTTTTTGCCTAAGTGTCAGATGCCACTCTAAGTTGCCAATCTGAAAGATGAAGGTTGAAATATGCACCCTTTAGCTCTTATATCCCACTGAGTGCTTTTTTTATGACACCTACTATATGTCTAGTGCTGTTGTAAGTGTTTTACATGTATTATTTCATTATCTGTGTATCCATCACAACTTTGGTAATGAATTAACATTTTTATATTATAAAAATAAAAATGCAAGGCTTATTAACCTGAGTGTATTCTTACGAAGTTGAAAGAAAATGGAATGATCACAAATAAATCTAGATTCAAAGCCGATGCTTTTACACTGCACCATACAAAAACCACATTGTCTACTATACTATCGAAATGGCATCAACTTCAGAAAAGAACATGTAAGCTACAATTATAATACAACTAAATTTAAAAAAAAAAAACAGAAAACAAAATCTCTTTAACTGTTTTGATTAAAATGTGTAAAGTAGATAATTTTACCATGTAATGACATATATTATCTATAAATTTTTCTAAGTGCTTATGTACATTTTATATGAGAGTAAGTCCATTTTGGTTTCCTTCTTTTAAACCTAATTTTAAAACTGTTCCCAGGCCTAAAACAAGTAAATAAGTACTCCAGTTAAAATATTCTGAGTGTAATGTCAATATATAAAAAGAAATTTCCCTAAAATTCATATTTTTCTGTGGTTTTACATCTCCTCATTGCTCAACTAACTATCCTTTTTCTCTGGAACGTCCACCTCTTTTCAGGTTGAGTTGAACTTTTGGACTAGAATGGACTGACAAATGCTCTACTCCCAGTTCCCTTGATTCTCTCTTTCTTTTTTCTTTGATTTCCTTTGAAATCAGCACTTTAGCTTTGAAAGCTTTGGCTCAGATTTTAGTTTATTTACCATTCTTTGGCAATAAATCGAAAACAGATTTTAGCTTTCAGCTTTTATCTTTCAGGACACTTAAAACTATTTTTTCCCTGAATGAAGCAACAATCAAATACAAGGAATACAAATAAAGATAGCATATGATTCCAAAAAGAAAAGAAAATGTAATTTTAGTTTGAATAATTTGCCCTTTGTGGCAGCAACTGATAAAATTTGATTATTGGATAATAGATTTGGCTACATTTGTTAGACACAATTTTCTAATGCCTAAAATAATTAAGTTATAATATGGTTCAGCAAATACAAATCTTTAAAATCTTCCCTTCATTCTTCACAAATCATAGATCAAAATATATTTAGTATATTTGTACATATAATTGGAATCTGGAACTACTTATGTAGTGAAAAAATACATTTATTGCAAATAATGTATGAATATTTATGGACATTTATACTTTTGTAATTAAGTAATTATAAATATTTATGAACTGTCTCTTATAATTTTAAATCTTAATATTGTGTTGAATTGTAGCTTTGTAACATCTCAGGCTTCTCTGTTTGATCAAAGACAAGAGTAATTGCTCAGTAGGAGTCAATATATAGTGTTAGGGTTAATGTCACATTATTATCCTCATTAAATCAAAATTAAAATTTATTTTATTTAAAATTTGTAGAAAGTTGTAATCAGGTTCCACGAATTATGGTCTTCCAAAGAGATATATTTATATATAATTTATATAATATAATTGATCCTGGATGAAAAGTAAAATGATTATGAAAAACATGCACATAAGTTTATATGCAGTTTTTCTTCATTTGTTGATAAAATAAAAGCACATGTTGTCACTTGGAACATCATAGATGAACTTTGAAGACATTTTGTTAGGTGAAAGACAAATACTGTGTGATCTCACTTACATGTGAGCAGGAGGTGAGCAGCAGGTGAGCAAGTGAAGCTTCATCTGTATTTACTGCCACTCCCCATTGCTTGCATCACCACCTAAGCTCCTTCCCTCCTGGCTGCCAGTTGGTGGAAAAATTTTCTTCTATGAAACCGTTCCCTGGTACCAAAAATGTTGGGAACCGCTGTTAGAATTTTTTTCAATTAAAAAATAAATTTTAAAAAGTTAAAACAAAAACCACAAAAGAATACCCTTCATGTGCTAAATTTTGATAATATGAAAAATGCTAAAATAAAGATAACCAACTTACATGCTGGAATTGCCTTGTAATTTTTGTAAATATTGACTCTATTTCATTAGGTTTAGAGTCACTATACATTTGGCACCATATCTATCCTTTTATGTAAACCTATGAATTATTCTTGATACCTGTCTCCCTCTTTATTATTCTATAATCTACTCTCATTGCTTGCTGATTTTTCTTTCTAAATATACAAATATATGTAGTCATCATCTTTAGTACTCACTACTCTAGTCAAAGCTGCATTTCTACACTGGCTTCTTCATTAACTTCACAACTAATCTCCAAATTCTCTACTGAATTTTCCATTCTAAATTCCATGCTGTAGCCAGGGTAATAATTATAAAATTTAAATCTGCTATTCACCTTATGTATTAAAACATTTTAATGACCTCTCTTTACCCCAAGTAAAGACCACAATTCTCAATACACCCTGTTAGGCAATTACCTCTTTTGCCTCATTTTACACTAAGGATAGTGAACCACCCTTAAGATGCAATTATTTCTATTCTACCTTGATGGTTCCACATGGGTTCTGGAACATGTGTGGTTGGCTCCTCCCACATATTCCAAAAGAGAAGGAAAACACAAGCCCTGTTCTCTTTATTGTTTTGTTTTCTACCACTTTAAGTGTTTATCCACTGTGAAGGGAAGAAAAGCAATGGCTCTGATGTAAGACCTCTTACCTCTCTTCCATGAACTTCAAAAACTTTCTCCTGATACTATTTACTTACTTTATTTTTCTGCAAGGCATTTACATTATAACATGTATCACCCATCTTTAATTGGCACTGACCCTATTCTCCTAGAAACATAAGAAAAAAAGTGAACCTGATGTTCAAAAAGAAAAATTAAAAAGAAGTCAATGTTTTTCAATATATTATGTAAATTATTTCTATCTCCCAATATTAGAGATGTATTTTTTAAAATATATATGAATATAATATAGTATCATATATACAACAAGCATCTTGTTTTTACTCAAAACTTAAACAGTGAAATCACTTAAGAGAAGTCTTTTGGACTAATGAACGCTGATCTTATAACTAGAAAACCCCAAAGATTCTGCCAGGAAACTACTGGAATTAATAAATTCAGCAAAGTCTCAGGTTACAAAATCAATGAACACAAATCAGCGGCATTCCTGTACACCAACAACAGTCAAACTAAGAATGAAATCAAAGACTCAATACCTTTCACAATAGCAACAAAGAAAATAAAATACCTAGCAATATATTTAACTAAGGAGATCAGAGACCTCTACAGGGAGAACTAGGAAACACTGAGAAAGGAAATAGCAGAGGATATAAACAGATGAAAAACCATACCATATTCATAGATTGGCAGAATCAACATTGTTAAAATGCCTATACTACCCAAAATGATCTTCAGATTCATTCCAATCTTTATTCAAATACCAACATCATTTTTCACAGATCTAGAGAAAACAATTCTACGCTTCATGTGGAACCACAGACGACCTTATATAGCTAAAACCACGTTCAGCAAAAATAACAAGTTGGGAGGCATTATTTATCAGACTTCAAGCTACACTACAAAGCTAAAAAAGATATTCTATGAAAAAGACATTTGCACCTGAATGTTTATAGAAGCACATTTCATAATTGCAAAGATGTGGAAACAACCCAAGTGCCTATAAATACATGAATAGATTAACAAAATGTGGTATACATATACCATGGAGTACTACTTAACCATAAAAAATGATGAACTACTTATTGTATTATATTGGATGGAGCTGGAGTCCATTCTTCTAAGTGAAGTATCACAAGAATGGAAAGGCAAACACTACATGTAATCACCATTAAGTTGGTACTAATTGATCAACACAAAAGTGCACATGTGGGAAATAACATTCACAAGGTGTTGGGAATGTCTGGGGGGTGGAGTAGATGATGGGTAAACTCACACCTAACAATGCTCACAGCTAGCGTGCTGTCTTGAGGATGGGTAAGTTTGTCAAGCAGTGCGAAGGTAATTTATGTGACCAAAGCTTTTGTACCCCCGTAATACTCTGAAATTAAAAAAAAAAGAAAGTATAAAAAAATTAATAAAATAAAATAAAACAACATATACTTATCACACATTTTATAAATTTCAGGAAAGTAGAATGATTTAGGTAGGTGGTTCAGACTAAGCATCCTTCATAAGTAAAGATTGCAACAAGTTGTTGAAGCAAGCTGCATTCTCTGTAGACTTTACTGTTGGAAGGTCCACATCTTAAGTTTGTTTGGGATATTATAATAGAATATCATAGACTGGTTTATAAAACAACAGAAATTTATTTATTACAGTCCTCGAGTTTGGAAAGGCCAAGAGCAAAAACCAAGATTTGATATCAGGTCATGGCGCACTCCCTAGTTTATCAATTGCTGTATTCAAGTTATGTCCTCACATGCTGGAAGGAACAAAGAAACTTTTGTGGGTCACATGATTTGGGGGGCACTAACCCCAATCATGAAAGCAGAACTTATCATCTACCAAAGGCCCCACCTCTTAATACCATCACATTTGAGGTTAGGATTTCAACATACGAATTTGGGAGGAAATACAAATTCAGTCTTTATCAATGTACTTCTAAGAATGTTTAATCTTTTGGTTGGCTGTCACATGAGGTGCCTCTGTATTTTATGTGACCTCTCTAGTAAAGGTGGTTTAGAATTATTTACATGGTGGCTGGGCTCAGAAAAAAAATGTGTGCATGTGTGTGTGTGTGTGTGAGTGTGTGTAAGAGAGAGAGAGAGAGAACCAATGAGTAGCAAGAGAGTTAACTCAAGATTAAAGTCTTAGTTTCTTATGACCTTGCCTCAAAAGTTACATTCCAATCCTGTGGTGTTTTATTTCTTAGAAGGGAGTCACTTTGCTTAGCCCACATTCAAGGGAAGGAATATTAAGTTCTACTTCATGAAAAAAGGAATAGCAAAGAATATGTGGACATATTTTTAATAGCATCACAGCTCAGTAATCCATTTAAGTCCATTTTGGAATTTTAAAGGAATATTTTTTAAACAGAATTTTAAATTAAAAAAATAAATTCCCAGGTGTGGAAGAGCACAATTTATTGCTGAAATAATACACACACACACAAATTCATAGTGCAAGCTCATACATAATCAAATATATAACCTTATTACATAAAGTTTGATAAGAGGAAAAATGCTTGACTTTTCAAAACAGCTCATTCGTTAAAAATAAAATTAACTTTATGTTCATTTTAGGTGCAACCTTTAAACAATCAATGACTGTGTACTTGCTGTAATCATTCTTTAAAATTAGAATTATTGAAAAGCTTTATGATCACTGATGAATGAAAGAACGTATTATTGATTTGTAGCCAAGAGAGATGATCTCAGGCAGTAAATAGGTGTAGTCCCTGAAGAAATCATTTTATTCCGCTAGTTTCTGAAACTATTGAAGTGGGTTGATTTGAAATAAATTCATCCTGATTTTATTTTAGTCACACATTATCTTATAATACATTAGGTAATGTTTTAATCTAAATAAGTCCTAGATGAAAAATTGAAGTGTGTCAATTTATAGCATAACTGGCACAAATACCCCAAATTGTAAAGGCATGCATTGTTCTATATGTCACTCATATATTTTGTTTTATAGTTTGTTCTTTCTGATTTTGTGTTTTTGTTTGTTTTACTGAACAAATTAATTTATATAGTTACGTGTATGCAAATGAGAAAGATATAACCACCCCTCTATGAGAAATCATCTTATAATGAACTCTTTCTTTTCACTAATGACCATCATAATAGGAAAATGAACTGTTATTTTCAAGCCTTTAGGTTAATAGTTCTAGGAATTCTAGTAATGTTTTAACAGTCATACTGTAAATGGTACTATATGACGTGAATAATGAGTATAGTTCCAAATGTAACAAACAATAAGAAAATTTAGAAAAATAATAATCACTACTTTTAAATGTGAAAATTAAAAAAAAGAGCTTGCAGTTTGAATAGGTATCATGTTGTCTTTAAACATATTCATTCTCCTTTTCCTAACTTTTTGGCTAAATCATATGTTATTTCTCTAAACTTATTTCAGTTTTAGTATTGCCTGAGAAGGATTTTTATTATAAAACTGCTAAGCAATCAAACCTAAACCAAGGTGAATATCTTACACATTGCTATATCCTCTGGTCATTATTCCATCCTTCTCTTCATTGCTCATTTCTCTAGTCTTGAAGCATTCCAATTCTTTGCCTTCCATGATATTTTACTCTTACTTTTCTGTCTCTGACTATTCATTTCCAGTTCCCTTTGCTATCTCTTTGTCTTCCGACACCTGCCATTCAATCTGAATTTCTTCTGCATGTAATTTTATGTCTTCCGTCCTTCTGCTGAATTCTCTCCCTAGGTAAATATGTTCACTCCAATGGCTTTATATCCTATTTATGTTCAGAGACTCTAGAATGTATATATCTAGGCAAATCTATCTTATGAGCTCTAAACTTACTTTACTTAACTAATTACATCCTCATCTCAAGATCATGCAACTCAACTCAGTATATGATCCTATTGTAAACTCATTTTTTCCCTAGAAACATATTTTAACAGCTACTTTCTGTCACTATACCCATTCGATCTGTCATTTAGCCTATTCAATTTACTCTCATCAATATATAACTCTATCCATTTTCTTCTCCCTTCCATGAACAGTAGTTGATCCACCAATTTGACCTGAATTATTACAGTTTATTCTTAAATTAGCCCCTTGTTTTGCATTGGACATTTTCACCCTTGGCAATTCAACCCAATTCATTCTCAAAGCTATAATATATTTTTCAATAGCTCTAATCATTGAATTTCCATGTTTAACAAAATGTTCAGAACATTATCAGTACATTTATGACAAAATGATGTACTGAGCCTAAAAATCTCCATTTGTCATTCTAGCTTCATTTCATGTTTGCTTCCCCTCAATCTCTATATTCTAACCACCATGCTATTTCAGTTTATCTAAAAAAGCTAAGCGCTCTTTTAACTTAGGGTCTTTTCACTTGCATTTTCTCTACCTAGAATGGTTTTCTTTGGTCTTTTGATGGTGATTACAAAGCCATTGAACTGTTCTTAGCTGACTTGTCTCTTCCTTGGAGATGTCTTATGAACACTTCATACTAAATCCAAATCAGATGACTAACATCAAAATTTTTCATCACACCCTAACTTTTGCTCATATGTAATTATATAGCATAGAATCTTTTAGTCTTTATAATTATTAATATTATTAATTTATCTTACTATTATTTCTAAAGGCTTTCTTCTGTAGTTATTAGAAGCTTTATTAGGTCAGGGATGTTATCTATCTCATTCAACTATCTTTCATACCTAGCACAGTGCCTGGTCCATAGATGTATCCAATACATATTTTGGGGATTAATAAACAATTAGCAGGCTTGCATTTTATTCTCTTTTATTACATTGTTTAAAAATTAATTACATCATTAAAAGGAAAATAAATTAGAAAGGAAATTTAATTACAGCATCTGAAGAGAAAAACAAGATTTTGAGGCAAATGATATTATAAACATAGATGCATAGGACTTGCAATTTACCAGGGTTTGTCATACCTAGAAGCCATGTTTATTTTTTTTAATTTATTTTTATTTTAATGTATTATGGGGGTACAAGTGTTAAGGTTACCTCTATTGTCCATGTCCCCTTCCCCCCTCAAGTAAGAGCTTCAAGCATGTCCATCCACCAAACGTTGCACATCTTACTCGTTGTGGTTGTATATATGTTTATAAAAGTACTTCTGATCTCTTTTTAACTTCATTCTTCAAAACTCTACATGAAACACATATTTTAAATGGGAATGGCATTTTCCTTTAGGCTCATTGCTTAAATATGAAGTCAAAATGCCTTGGTATGACACATAAAATATTTAGACCATGGTCACTGATTAATTTTGCCTGAGATGTTCATCTAACCACTCCATGTTCCAGTCCTACAAAACTTAGGTTTTACTTAAAACTGTGTAATGTTTGTACTTCTGAATCTAACCTTCTGTGGGGAGGGGACAGAAAATATCAACTCTTTCCTCCTTTAGCTTTCTTAAACCAGTGAATTTCTACAAAACACAATTTAAGTACCATATTTACCAGGGTTTTGAGAGGGAACCAAAAACCACTGATAGGTATCTCAAACAGATAGTACATTTCATACATACACAATTGATATAGCTGAAGTATATGTGTGGTGGGGGTCATAGAGGAAAGTTTCGGGTTATTGAATTTAAAAGCACACAGCTATTTCTGTAGACCTGGGTCATGAAGATGGTCCTGCTGCCAACACTTTAAGCTTTTTGTACTCATAAATCTCATGATTAGGAACAAGGATATGAAGTCCTGACACTTCCACTATTTCTGAAACTACTGTCTCCTTGGCTTTACTTGCCAGAATCAACAATAGCGAGGTGGACTTTGACTTATTTCATCCCTCTATGTCTTATACCCATGTACACAATAGGTAAATGGTCTAAGCTACAACCAGAACACTGGCTCAAAGGAAGCTACATTTCTTGTCTTGTTTTGTTTTAGCTTTCTAACCTCTTCAACTTTGACAAGTGTAGAATCAGTATTGAAAAAGCCTGTGCACACAGTCTACCATAAGAACTTCCCCAGTATTCCCAGCAAAATAATACAGGTCCAATCTAGAGCTTATATCACTCCCCCAACTATCACACTTCCCACACTCCCACAGTACATCAGCTGTGTATGTAAATATACTTCCAAGTATACACTGATATCTCCTGAGCATTATTCATCTATATATTCCCTCCATCTCTTATAAGGTTTGCCAAATGTTAGGTTCTTAATAAAAACATTTCAAACTATTAAAATGCCAAAATAATGAATAACCAACTGTGTATCATACACAGCTAAAGTTTTTCCTCAAACCTTCTGTAATACATGTAACTTATGCAAATGATTTGGCAATTACCACATATTACTTTACATTTTTATTTATCATAGCTACAGCTATGCTTACGTTGATTCATATGTACATAAATTAATTTTTATACATACATATATATTGTACATTTTGTTACAATACCTAGCGTAGTGTTTTGTGCACAGAAAGTGACCAAATATATTTGCATTCTTTGGGAAGCACTTGCAGGCTACTGATGCGAGGTTTTTTTTCCCCCTGTGGTCTGACTATCCCCTTCCCTAGTCACTAAAACCTCTCTCAGCCTCAGTTTCTTCATCTGCAACATAGAACTAATAATATTTAAATGGTTCCTGTGCAAAATAATACAGGTTAAGTGTGGCACTAGATATACACCAATGGTTTGATTGACTTAAGCCAGTTATTTGCTACTTTTCTTGATATTATTCTTGCCAAAATGTCAATATATCCCCATGCTAAGCCACCACTTTTCTGTTAGTGTTCATATTTATCTTATCTCATATTGCTTATTCTTTAATATTTGGAATTCTTGATAATGTCCTCCACTTTAGACCCCTATGTTAGGTTCCTATGACTCTTTTCTATGATTTTTTCTGATGTTTTTATATCCATCTCTATTCCTTCTTTCCTCAGCTACTTTATCATTTATCTTCTCCCACTTACCTCCTACATTATATGCTCCCCCAGAGTTTAATCACCAGGTGTTTGCTCTTCTCAGGTCCCACCACCTCCCTGAATGTCATCAACCATGCCTGTGACTTCAACTCCCATTCACATGCTAATTATTCTCATGCTGTATTTCCAACATTTACTTCTTTCAGGTACTTGACTCTGTGTGTCTATATACATGTTATTTAACAAACTCATCCCTTCATTGTTAACCAGGTCCATCAAAAGCAGCAAGTTCAAAGTGAAGCTCACCGCCCTTCACAGGCTTTGCCAAGATTTGTCTCTGAAAAATCTTCTAATTAGATTTGTTAATTTTGTCCTACCCTAGGACTTTCAGTTGCCTGAAGGCATCCAGCTGCATCACAACCACAGACCACTGAAACCCTGGTTCCTTTCTTTGGTAATATTATTTTCTTGTTTTTAAAATCATAATATCTACTCATTTTCTAAAATTCATCCGCTATCACCTCAGTTGCCAATGAAACAACTTTCACACACAGCTTTTCAAACAGCAGAGTTACTATAAACAACATTAATCTTTGTAATTACACTCTTCTTTTTAGAACAGTGGCAATTTCTATTTATTCAATTTTGTATCCCAGGTTCATACAGGAACAGAGTAAATATTGATAAACATTGAAGGAATAAAGGAGTGGATAATTTAATGACTTGAAAATAAACATACATTTTGGATTTCAAAGTTTCATTATGCTCCCAAATGCTTGAATTCCAATGCTTTGTGTAACATTAGGAAAGATAATTTATATTTAATATGAAAAACAGAAGAGTTGGATTCCAAATCTAGAGGGTAATAGCACAACACATTATATCTAATTTTTATTAGGAAAGTCAACAAAGATGAGTGGTTTCATATGGATGCAAAACAATTATGAGATCTTTCAATGATGTGTTCATTTAGCAAATATTTATATATTTTCACTATATACCAGGCACTATTTTAAACAAATTACAAATATTACTTCATTTAATTATTTTGACAACCTTGTTATTTCCCCTCATTTATTGATGCTGAAACTAAGGCACATTGAATAACTTGTTCAAGGTTAACAGCTAATAACTGGTGGAGCCTATTTCCACCCCCAAATGATCTGGCTCTAGAGTTCAGACTTTTAATTGCTATACATTGCTATACCATGTGCTATTAATACATAATTTTTTGTGTTTTGCTCATGTTGGATAGAGTATTCTTTAAATATCATTGGGTGTTTGTTACTATTTACAAATTATAACTAGTAATTTATGAGTTTTCTATTGTTCTAACAAAAAATTGGCAGCTTAAAACAACAACTTATTATTAATACCTCGTACTTGTGCAGATCAGATGGCTGGATGCTGCTCAGTTGTGTTCTCTGCTGGGTCTCACACTCAAGGTATCAGGTGAGTTCCATTCTCTTCTGGAGGCCTAATGCAAGAATCTGCTTCACAGCTCATTCTGGGTGTTGGCAGAATTCATTGATATTTGTAAAACTGAGTTCCTTTTCTCTTTGCTGGCTATTAACCAGGGGCAGTGCTCCTCTCCAAAGCAGCGGTCCCCAGAGTTTTTGGCACCAGGGACCGAAGGCGGGGGAGTGGTCCGGGATGACCCAAGTGCATCACATTCATTGTGTGGCAGTCAAACCTCTCTGCCAATGACAATCTGCACTTGCAGCTGCTTCCCAGCACCTGCACCGCCGCGCCAGCTCCACCCCAGGTCATCAGGCAGCAGACTCTCACACAGAGCAACCTATATCCCTCACATGTGCAGTCCGCAGTAGGGGTCTTGCTCCTATGAGAATCCAAATCCCCTGCTGATATGACAGGAGGGGGGGCCCATGCAGTGATGCAAGGGATGGGGAGCAGCAGCAAACACAGATGAAGCCTCATGGGCCTCTGCTGCGCAGCCCCAGGGCTCCAACAGGCCACAGACTGGCACCCAGTCTGCAGCCTGGGGCTTGGGGACTTCAGTTCTAGGAGGATGCCTCATGGCCCTGTCCATCTTTAAAGCCAGCAACTGAGAATCTTCCTTGCATCAAATCCCTCTCATGCTTCCAATCCCTTTCTTCCAGGAAGAGCCCAATCCCTTATAAGAACTCTTCTAATTAGGTCAGGACCACTGGAAAGAAAAAAAATAGTTATATTCAGTATTATAGTTGGAGGCTTCAGTACACGTCTTTTGGCAATTGCTGTATCAAGTAGACAAAAAAAATCAGTAAGGATATATTAATAGTTGACTTGAATGGCACTATCACTGAACTTGATCCCATTGAAATTTATAAGACATTCATCTAATAACAGCAGAATGTGTATTTGTCAAAACCCACAGAGCTCTACAACACAAAGTGTAAACCTGTATCTGTGCAATTAAAACAATCAATTAGAAGGTTGTGGGATCCTGGGATGTAACACAGACTGTTATAAAAATCAATCAATTGTACTATAAACACATAAACTAACTTTACTGTAGAGACTTAGGAGAAAGGATTCCGACTATGGTGATATTGTAAATGACTGGAATCTCTAAGACTAACGGCAAAGACACTGTACAGTTCTAAAACATAGATTTACTTTGTTTCATTTTCTTCTAACTTCCATTCACCTCTGTCATAACAATATATTTTAATTGTTATACTTATTTTTTTCTCCTTTTTAAACTCAATCTCCAGATACTTTATAATTGTTGTTAAAAGAAGAAGAGGGCTTCTCAAAGCCACTGTGGGGAACTGTCATGCTCATCATAGGATGCTTAGCAGCATACCTAATCTCTACTGCTAAATGTCAGTAGCACACCCTCTCCTTCACACGTGGGATAATCAGACATGTCTGTAGACATTGACAAATGTCCACTGGATGGTAAAGAGAATATGGGAGATAAAATTCCCTTTTTTAAAGACCCCCTAGATTAGAGTGTACCACGTAAAGTAAAAGACACAATTCAAAATACCCTGGGAAATTCCCAAAAATTCTTCCCAAAATACAGTATATACATTATGACATACATATGCATGTGTATATATATCTCAGTGTGTGTGTATATATACAGCTATATATATCTTAAGCAGTTAGTTCTTATGCACACGAATTTTAAAGAATCTTAAGTCATACTAATGGAAATATCTAAGAAAAATCTACATGCAAATGTTTATACATTAAAGTCACTATATTGTTATAATTAAGAAATTAGTAGGAGCAGGAATGAGAGAGGAGTATGAGCCAAGAATTCAAAATTGTCAGTGCTATAATAGTGTCTATTCCATCTTAAAATTAATTCTGAATATGTTGTAAAACATGGTTTCTGATGTGAAAATGCTTGTGTTCCCAACAGGTTTTCAACTGGGGGTGATTTTGCTCACCAAGGTCATTTGTCAATGTTTAGAGACAATTGCAGTTATTACTATCTTGGACAGTGGAGTGTGGTACTGATATTTAGTAGACAGAGGCCAAGGATACTGTTAAACATCCTACAATGCAAAGCCAGAGCCCACAACAAAATTATTGAGTCCAAAAATACTAATATTGCCAAAGGTGAAAATATTCTTAGGGTTGTAGGTTGTACTCCACCTTGATTTTCTTTTAATTTAATGCGCTGGTGATGTAATTCTACATGTTCCTCAACATGAACATAGGCTGATGGCCTTGAATGGCATTGATTCTTATGTACCTTTTATTTATGTACCTTTTATGTACCTTTTATGTACCTTTTATTCAGTAGATAAAATTCAACTGAATAATTTAAATATTTAAAGTAATAACATTAGTTTAGAAATAAATTTAGAGGTGAAAAATAATATTGGAAATACTTTAAGAATTTTGCATTTATATATTCAAATAAAAATATGAATATTATTACTAATAGAAAAATTTTTGTCTTGATCTCAAATTTTAATCAGAAAATTTTAAAACTAGCTCTAGCAATAGCTAATAGAATAAGATTTGCAAATCCTGATAAGTCACTTTTCATGCCTGTATCATTTTAGAATAAATTGATCGCTGTTAAAACTTAATTTAGTTTGAGTCTCTTCTGATTATATATATATAATTTTACACATAGTCATGTTCAATGCAATTATATTATATATTACAAGAAATATGCCAGGTTTAAAGTAAGAATCTCTTTTAAATGCTGTGATATTCAGGAATCTATATAAAATTATGCTAGGCTAAGGTTTTTAAACAAAACCTTTTCCTTGATAGAGCACTTGATCCCAAGAGTAAATCTGTTGATATAAATCTTCATATTTTAGTTTTGCATTTTCTAAAGCACATTTACCACAGTAATTACATATAGACTTCAGCATGCAATCTAATATTAGATAAAAAGTTTAAATTACAGATGACACACTATGAATGCACAGAAGAATGAATTGATTTTTATGTTATTCTCAGAAAGTCCATCTTTTATAAAGTAAATTTATAAAGAGTTATATTTTTATATCTAGAGTTATATTTTAGCTCATTTCAGACAGTGGACTCCTGGTTTTTGATATTAATAATGCCATAATTATTATTTTTTGAATAACTTTTAAGATGTAAGGAGATAATTAGGAATTGCTGTAATTGGGGAAAGAAAAAACAGGAGTGTTATCACATCACATACTCAATATGGCACATTCCATGCCATAGGCTTTAATATGAGTTGACTACTTTCTTTAAGAGGAGTACAATTTAGCCTAAATCAGTTTATTTATTTATTAATTTTTGTAATATTTTTTTTCTTTTTTTATCTTTGGCACATGGTGAATGTAAAATTATGAAGTGTTATATTGACTAAAAATCATAATCTTTCATTTGTAGCTGTTCACAGGATAATAAACATCTTACTAGAGTTACAACAACACATCTATCAAATATATATAAGTCAATGCCAAAAAGGAAAGAGACGGGTTGATTTATTTGCAACTTTTTCTATTACTTTCATTGGGCAAAAGTAAGACATTATTTTAAATCATTTGTATTCTTTATTAATGTAATACAATAAATATTTATTTTCACAAAACTATTCCTAGGGGTTATAGAGTAATATGATTCCTTTGGGAGTGTGAACTATATAGCTAACTCCAAAAAGTAATTCAAAATAAAAAGAAAATTTCATTTTTGAACACATAAAATTTTTGCCCAAATTATGTGGATTAGTAGGATATAGAGTTTATATTATAATCTACTGTATATCTTTTTTATTGCATTTTCAACCCAGTATACAACTTTTGTGTGAAGCCACATTTAACAATGTATGCAACTATGTAAAAGTTTAAATGTGATTTGGATTAAAAGAATTTTAGCAGACAAATCCAAAAACAATTCTATTTTATTATGGTCTCTATTTCCAATGTTGTTCCCAGGTTTAAACTGACTTGTGTGCCTGACTCTACCTATTTGTTTTGTATTTTGAAGCATCAGTCTATATTGTAACAAAATAGAAGGTAACACAATTAGTTTTACATGTATACATAGAATTTTTCTGTTTTAAAGTGGAAAGAAATAAAAAGTTTTAAAAATTAGAAAAATAAATGCTATAATAATTATTTTCTTAATATACTTCTTAATTCTCATTTCTTAGTTTCCTTAATTTTTATAAGAACATTTTATATTAAATATATCCAATATTTATTTCTAGGTGTGTTTTCTGAACAAATGCTAGGATACTAGATGGGTTCATTAATTTGTCCAATACCACAGGTTATGTAATTGATTAATTGTGTATAGAACCTATTCTTCAGATTTTTTTTTATTTCAGAATATTATGGGTGTACAAGTGTTTTGGTTCCATTAATTGCTTTTGTACAGTTTCAGTCAAAGTTATAAGTGTACCCATCACCCAGATAACGTGCATTGTACCTGTTAGGTGTGATATTTACCCACCCCCCTCCGCTCTCCCACCTCCTTGATTTCCATTGAGTTTTACTGCCATATGTGCACATGAATGTTGACTGATTATTGCAGCACAATTCAAAATCACAAAGATGTGGAAACAACCCAAGTGCCCATCAATACATGAGTAGATTAATAAAATGTGGTATATGTATACCATGGAGTACTACTCAGCCATAAAAAAAATGGTGACCATTAATACCTTTTGTAACAACCTGGATGAAACTGGAGACCATTCTTCTAAGTGAAGTGTCACAAGGATGGAAAAACAAACACCATATGTACTTACATTAAATTGGAACTAATTGGCCATTCTTCAGATTTTTAAAATCAATACCTCCTCTTCCCTACAAAAAAGGTAAAGATAACTGATAGTGTATTGCGGTGTCAAGATTACTCATTTTCAATAGGATACTACCATAGCTCAAATGAATGAATACATAAATAATGAATTAATGATATTAACAACCCATTGAGTTTCCTGTTGAGGGGTAGAAATGAGCTAAAGACAGTTTATACATTTCTTATTATGTTAACTGAGTAATTAGTACTGTCATTCACACATTCATAGAGTCATAAGCAGATATATTTTAGTATCTTGATTGTGGCAATATACCAATGTCCTATATTTTTCCTTGGTTTCAAAGTACCATTTTTAAAAATACCAAAGACTTCAGCATAATTTCAATTCACTCTATTGAAGTCACATTTGAAAATTTTAACACACTGAGGTATAGCTATGACTGTATATGAGTTTTCTAAATTGCCAGGCATATAGGCCCAGATTAACATTATACATTAATTTTAGCGGTTTTACATCTAATGAAATAGGGTCAAATTTACAAAAATACAAAGTAATTCCAAAATGTGGGTACATGTAGTTACATTTATTTTGGCATTTTTTTCCATTGTCAAAGTTAGCATGTGAAGAGTGTTTTACTTTATTTTTTACCTTTTTAAAATCTATTTTACTTAAAAAATTATAATATTATTCATGTAAAACGTATTGTTTTAAAAAATATTTCCCCTCCCCAGTCCCTAATAATCACCATTTTACCTTCTATAATACTTCTATGAGTTCAACTTTCTTAAAGTTCACATGTAAGTGAGATCATGCAGTATTTGCCTTCCTGTGTCTGGCTTATTTTAATTAACATAATGTTCTCCAGATTCTTCCATTATGTCACAAATGACAACATATATTCTTTATTTTAATTTATCAACAAAGGAAGAAAAAATACAGAACTC